TTTCCCCCAAAGCCCCAGTAGATAGTTGTATGTCATAGCTGCACATCCTTCTAGTTGCTGTATGTGGGACACGGCCTCAGCATGGCCGGAGAAGTGGTGTGTCGGTGCGCGCCCGGGATCTGAACCTGGACCGCCAGCAGTGGAATGTGTGCACTTAACCGCTAAGCCACAGGGCTGGCCCATTCATGATGTATAATTATTTTAAGGTATTGTTGCATTCAGTTTGCTAATCTTTTGTTGATGATTTTTACATCTATGTTCATCAGAGGTATTGGCCTGAAATTTTCTTTTTTTGTATTGTCCTTGTCTGATTTTGATATCAAGGTAATGTTGGCCTTGTAAAATTAGTCAGGAAGTGTTCTCTCCTTTCAATTTTTTGGAAGAGTTTGAGGATAGGTATTAAATCTTTGAATGTTGAGTGGAATTCACCAGTGAAGCTTTTTGGTCTTGGACTTTTGTTTTTTGGGAGGTTTTTGATTACAGATTCAATCTCCTTACCAGTGATCAGTCTATTCAGATTTTTTATTTCTTCATGATTCAATCTTGGAAGGTTGCATGATTCTAAGAATTCATCCATTTCTTCTAGGTTTTGCAGTTTGTTGGCATATAGCTGTTCATAGTAGTCTCTTATAATCCTTTGTATTTCTGTGTTATCCATTGTAACTTCTCCTCTTTTATTTCTGATTTTATTTATTTGAACCTTCTTTTTTCCTTAGTGAGTCCAGCTAAAGGTTTGTCAATTTTGTTTATCTTTTCAAAGAACTGGCTGTTCATGTCATTGATCTTTTCTGTTGTGTTTTTGGTCCCTATTTCATTTATTTCTGCTTGATTTTTATTATTTCCTTCCTTCTACTGATTTTGGGATTGGTTTGTTCTTTTTTTTCTAGTTCCTTTATGTGTAAGGTTAGATTTTTGAGATTTTTCTTGTTTCTTGAGATAGGCCTGTATTGCTATAAAGTTCCCTCTTGGTACTGCTTTTGCTGCATCTCAGAGATTTTGGCATGTCGTATTTTCATTTTCATTTGTCTTTAGGTGTTTTCTAATTTCTCTATTGACCTAACAGTTGTTCAATATCATGTTGTTTAGTCTCCACATATTTGTGATTTTTTTCAGCTTTCTTCTTGTAGTTGATTTCTAGTGTCATAGCATTGTGGTCAGAAAAGAAGCTTGATATGATTTCAATCTTAAATTTATTCAGGCTTGCCTTGTTTCACAACATATGGTCTATCGTTGAGAATGTTCCATGTGCATTTGAGAAGAATGTATACTCTGCTGCTTTTGGATGGAATGTTCTGTATATATCTATTAAGTCCATCTGGTCTAATATTTCATTTAAGACCAATGTTTCCTTGTTGACTTTCTGTCTGGATGATCTATCCATTGATGTAAGGGGGTGTTAAAGTCCCCTATTATTGTGTTGCTGTCAGTTTCTCTCTTTAGGTCTGTTAATGTTGCTTTATATATTTTGGTGGTTCCTATGTTAGGTGCATATATATTAATAAATGTTATGTCTGCTTGATGGATTGTCCCCTTTATCATTATATAATGTCCATCTTTGTCTCATCTTACCTTTTTTGGCTTGAAGTCTATTTTGTCTGACATGAGTATGGCTACACTTGCTTTCTTTTGGCTGTCATTTGCTTGGAGTATCATATTCCATCCCTTCACTTTGAGCTTATGTTTGTCTTTAGAGCTGAGATGAATCTCCCAGAAATAGCAGATAGTTGAGTCTTGTTTTTTAATCCATCTAGCCAGTCTGTGTCTTTTGACTGGTTAATTCAATCCATTTTCATTTAGGGTGATTACTGTTATTTGAGGATTTAGGACTGCCGTTTTATCTTTTGTTTTCTGGTTGCTCTATATCTCTATTGTTTTTTTTTCTCTTGTGTTTCTATCTCCCATTTTAGTTTGGTGGTTTTCTATGATCTTTTTTTAGTTTCCTCTTTTTTTTATATTTTATGTCTCTGCTCTAGATTTTTCTTTTGTGGTTACCATGAAGTTTGTATAACATGTCTCAT